GATTGAATCTTTCAGGGCGCCTGGGTGGCTCAGTCGTTAAGCGTCTGCCTTCGGCTCAGGTCATGATCCTAGGGTCCTGGGATCGAGTCCCACATCAGGCTCCCTGCTCAGCAGGAGACCTGCTTCTCCCTCTCCCACTCCCCCTGCTTGTGTTCCTGCTCTCGTTGTGTCTCTCTCTGTCAAATAAATAAATAAAATCTTTAAAAAAAAAAAAAAAAGATTGAATCTTTCATGTGCTGCTCTTCTGCATCTTGTTTTTCACACTGTGTCAGTGGTCTGAGAACATCCCTGCAGGTCCTCTAAAGCATTCTTAACCCCCTTACTTACTGTATTAATTATGTTACTTTCTTGGGTGAGCAGTGCATGCAATTGAGACAAAATTCAAAAGAAACAAAAGCACCCAATGAAGAGCAAGTCTTTGCTCCCTGCCCGCCAGTGGCACTCCCCAGGAATCCCTCCATGGCGAATTCCGTAGGTCTGTCTCCTCACGTGACATCAGACCCAACAGACGGAGGAGGGTGCTTTTCTTTATTTTTAAATCACTGCTAAGGGCACATCACACAGTTTTAGACCTTGGCTTTTTCACTTAATATATCTTGGAAATGTTTCTATATTGGTACGCTACTTCTTTTTTTTTAACTTATTTTTCTCTGAATTGCTAATGTATTCGCAGGATTCCCAAAAACAGTAATAACAGTCTGATGAAAACTTTCCATCCATCCTGTCCCCAGTCTACCCAGGTCACCCCACCGCCCCCCGTCTCTGAATGTCTTCCAGGATTCTGTATTGTACAAGCAAGTGGGCAGTATTGATGCTTCTCCTACCCGCTTTCTTCCCCTCAAAAGAATCACTTTCCTTGAGTACTTGGCATTTGTCACTCAGTAGCTTCTCGTGGATACTACTCCATAGCAAGGCACAGACCTTCCCTGCTCTTAACTATTTTCTGTTTTTCTTGCTACTCGGTAACATTTCCTTCCATCCTTCTGTCCCTTCGCCTGGCTTTAATTTTTCTTTGTAGCAAGTAACATAATCTGACAAGTGTTTCAGGTCAGTCTGTTGACTTGCTTAGCATTCTTCTCTCCTCACCAGAACGCAGACCCCATCAGGGCAGGGTTATCCTCTCTTTCCTTCTTTGCTTTATTCATTGCAAGTGCTTGTGGAGTGAGCCAATCCATCCTGTCCTCACGTGCGTCCACCTGGCACCCCGAGGAGACAGGGACCAAGCAGGACTGTAGTGGAGGCGTCATGTACCCACATAGGCCCCAGGGACCTCTGGTTCCGCAGAGAGAAGCAGCTCCCCTACTGATGCCTTCAGAAGTACTTGGAACTAAGAAACACAAGCAGACGCCTTTTGCTTACCTTTACCTTGGGCCAGGGCCCTGTTCTAAGTCTTTACAAGAATGCCGTATTGATTTAGCTTCACAGCAGCCCTTATGGGGGAGGCACTGCAAATGGCTCCATTTTAGAGAGCATGACATTGGGGCCCAGAGGGGTGAAGTTCTTTGCCCAAGCCTCAACCTGAGGATTGGCAGAGGTGGTATAGGAGCCCCAGCTGTCCTGGTCCTGGGTCTGTGGGTGCTGCTGGAAGAGGGGCGGACGGAAGGCTCCCCCCTCACTCCCAGTGCCTCCCCCTGCCCCAGGCACTGCAACATGGTGCTGGAGAATGTGAAGGAGATGTGGACCGAGGTCCCCAAGAGCGGCAAGGGCAAGAAGAAGTCCAAGCCAGTCAACAAGGACCGCTACATCTCCAAGATGTTCCTGCGCGGGGACTCGGTCATCGTGGTCCTGCGGAACCCGCTCATCGCCGGCAAGTAGGGGCCTCCTCTCCAGCATCAGAATTCCCGCCCTCATCCTGTGAAGACCTGCCCTTTGTAATGGGAATAATAAAGTCCTGTGTTTTTTCTAGTGGCATCTGTCTGTTCTCAGAGCCTTGCGAGCAGGGCAGACTTGGGGAAGGGAGGCAGCTGGGTGTGGGGCCGGGTGCTGGGGTCAGGACCTCTCTGCCCCTCCCAGGCCACACTTTCCCCGTCTGTGAAGCGAATGGGTTGGGTACAGAGAGCTCCCTTTCCTAATCTTTTCTAGCTTCTCTTCATCACTGTGTCTCTTGCGTCTCTCTCTCTTCCCTCCCTCTGTCCCTCTCTCAATAAGTGGAGGTCTAGCTCAGAACTTCTTGCAGTCTTTTTCTCCATTTGTTCAGTCAGGAAACAGTCCCCCAAGTGCCTCCTCTCTGCCGGGTCTGTGTTGCAGTGTTGCAATGCTGGGGGCCTGGCAGCACCCGGGAGAGCCCCGACTGGCCCTCACTGAGAGGAGGAGGAGGATCTAGTTAGAGCGGCCAGCGCCCAAATACCGGTAGTGATCGCGGCTAACGCCTGCCGAGCTGTTAGGGTGCCAGGCCCTCGCCTCTGCGCTGATCAGACTTCCTCTCAGCCACTGTGAGCAGACACTGTTAATGATGACCTCCATTTCCAGAGGAGGGAACTGAGGTACAAAGAGAGGCGAGCACTTCCCCGGGGGTACCCAGCCAGGAAGTGGGGTTGGTATAATTCAACTCCACCCTGCGCCAGAGCCTGGAGCTTAACCCTGAGCTCCACTGGCCTCAAATTACAACTTCATTACCCCTGGGAGAAATTCTCTGACAGATGTGGGGAGATAGAGGTGGGAAAGGGGGAGGCTGACTTACTGGGGTGGGGTAAGGAAGATCCTGGTCTTGCTCTGATGCGCACACATTGTGCTGTCCCCAACCCATGTCTCTCTGTTCTATCTCTGCTTGCATCTCTTACTCTGTTCTCCAGATAAGACCAAACACCAGGTGGGTGCAGGAGTTTGCAGGCCTCAGATCAGGATAAAATGAGATGTCTGATACGCTGAGTTGCGGAAGACACACCCTGAGTTAGTCCATGAGTCCATTAGTGACAGAGCAAGGGACCCTGTAGGAGGAGAAGGCTTGACGCAGGACAACAGCTGTGAGGTTATAGAGGTGCACGTTTACTGAGTGGCCCACATCTAGCGGGAACAGTCATCTGGCGGGTGGATACTAGAGCCATCCCATCTTACAGATGAGACGGGCTGAGGCCCAGAGAGGGTAAGCGACTTGCCCAGGGTCACTCAGGAAATGATGGAGCCAAGTTACTTGTAACGTGGGAGCAGTGGTGCTGCTGCAGGAGATACTCCTGTCCCAGTCCCCGCCCCTGCAAGGATTCAATTCTTGTGCAGGAGCTGGGACAGCACAAGCACTGGAATCAGTCCTGGCTTCAGATCCCTGCCCTGCCTCTCCCTTCTTGTTGGCCTGGCCTCCCCAAGAAGTGGGAATTGGTTTTCCCTGCCCTGCGGGCTGGCAGCACAAATTCCAGCCTCAGGCACCCTGCTTGGCATCAGTCTGAATTTCCTCACGTCTTCACCCACCCCTGCCTAAATGTTTCTAATCACCTCTTCCTTCATTGCGTGAAAGCGAAAGCAGAGAATGCAGGAAAAGCATGCACCGTGCACCAGGAACTACCTTAAGAACTCACCGGAATCTTGCAACCATAGGATGTAGACACCGTCATTATACCCCTTTTTCCAGAAGTGGGAACTGAAGCACAGAGAAGTTGGGAATTTCTCCCAAGTCACACAGCTAATAAGTAGCCAAACTAAGCTTGGACCAGGCTGGTTTCTGCAGTCTTACTCTTCCTACACTACCTTTTAGAGAAGCAGTCCTCAGAAAATGTTTGGCACACACACACATAATTTTAATTGCATACGCTGTAAATGGTTAAGTATTGGGAGATCACGTGAACAGTCACAATAGGGATTTCTCTTAGGCATGGGGGCCAGTGGCGGCGTAGCGCCCGTGTTCTTGTGGCAGCACATGGCTGAAGAGATTGCAAGGCCCCACAGGCACGCAGCCCACCTCTCGTTTCTCCTGATGGCCTGGCCAAGTGGATGCTCCCACCCACCTCCCATACACAAAAGTACATGCTTGATTTACAAGGCCCCTGCCTTAGAGCACCGCCCCAACCCATGAGGGGGGCCCAGCACAGCCCCATGCTTGAAGGACTCTACTCAGGGGCTATGGGGCACATGTGTCCAGGGGGCTGGGGACCCTAAGGAAAACCACACCCAGGTACTAACTGAATCTCAGTGTAGATCTGCGTTGGGGATGGATTTAGGAGTGAGAGTCTTGTGTGTGTACAGGTGGTCCAGATAGAGGCTGTCAGCCTCTCCCCAGTTCTCCCAGTTCCTCTGAGTCCTGCCCTGAATGGCTCCTGTTTAGTCTACACACCAAGTCCTCCTTTCTGCCCCTCCCCCCCCCGTGCTGCCCCACATTTCTCTTTTCCATCTCTCACCTCTCCTGTGAGCTCCAGGGCCTTTTCCTCAGCCTGACGTGCCCCAAGAGCACTCCTGGCTCTCCCCACCCTGAACCCCATCTCCCTCTCTTGCCACCACCCCAAACCTAGGAGTCTTCCTTGACTTCTCTTGCTGCACTTCCCTCGTGCGAAACGGCAAATCCTCAGTTCTACCTTTAGAAGAGCAGTGCCAGAATCCGACCACTTCCCACCCCTCCAACCACTTCACACCCCTCCGCAGCTGCCTGTCCTGCCCCCCGGTAATCTGTTCCATCACATGGCACCGTCTGTTCCTGTCTGTTCCTCAGGCACCGCCGAGCTTTTCTGCCCTTGCAGATGCTGTTCCTTCTGCCTAGAATCTTCTTCCCAAAGCGGTCTCCTTCACCTCTTGCAGGCATGGGCTTAAGTGTCACCTCCTCAGAGATGCCCTCCTGGGCCACCCTAGGCTCCCTTCTAATTTTTCCACATTAGCCATTCCACAGTGTGTGTCTAACTTGATGTTCTGTCTTTGCTGCCCCCCCCCAATTGTGAACTGTGAACTCTAGGAGAACAGGGACCTTGTTTCCCCCCGCCCACCGCACCCCAGTTGCTCCAGCACCCTCCACACTGGGCCTGGTACACAGTAGGCACTCAATAAATACGTGCGATCTCAAATGGACACAGGAGCCCCGCTGCCTAGCAGTAACTTTCCGAGGCCCGGCTGGCCTCATCCCCAGGCCCTGGGAGAGTCCCCAAGGACAGGGCGCGGTCAGGGGCGACCCGGCAGGGGCCTGAGCTCGAGGGCAGGGTCCCGGAGGCGCGCTCGGGCGGCTGGCGCTGCTCTTCCCCGAGGCTGTGGCGCAGGCGACGGCGGTGCCAGCAGCGGCGGATCTCCGACTGCACCTGCAATGCGACGGGGCTCAGAACGTTCCCTGCGCTCCCGGCCGTTCCCTGCGCGGCCGCCAGAGGGCGCGGGCGGCGAGCCGGGGCTGTCCCTACCTCCTTGTTGATGAAGCAGTACAGGACGCTGACCAGGAAGCCCTGCCAGGAGGAGGCGCGGGGGTTAAATCGAGAGTGGGGGCAGGATCGCAGACACCCCCTGAGTGAGCTTGGACCCTTAGCAGGTCCCAAACCACCTCGGCTGCCGCTACCCTGGTCCTAGACCATTTCAATCACCCTCTCCCTGGCCCCCCCTTTGCCCTCCCAGGTTTGCTGAGCAATAAGAGGGCTAACAGGGAACCCTGGATGGAGGTGGGCTGCCTAGATATGAGAACCGCTTCCCCACTTCCTGACCCACTTGGGCAAGGGCTTATCCCCTCTGTGCCTCAGTTTCTTCCTCTGGAAAATGGGGTCATAGTAGAGTAGTGGTTGTGAGAATTGAGGTACTATGCAAGAAGCTGGAGTGCCTGGCACATAGCGTTAAACTTTATTCTTAAGCTTGTTATAACTTTGTTATATATATTACATATTATTAATAAATTAATTTTAGGAATTATCTATGTAAGTATACATTTTACATATAAACTTTCATAAAAATAATTACTAATAAATTACTTGATAATACAAATCAGTTATTTATGTTAAAATCTTACAAATCTTATTAATTTCCATGATCCTGTTAAAAATCTAACTCGGGGGGCGCCTGGGTGGCTCAGTTGGTTGGGCGACTGCCCTCGGCTCGGGTCATGGTCCCGGGGTCCTGGGATCGAGTCCCGCATCGGGCTCCCTGCTCGGCGGGAAGCCTGCTTCTCCCTCTCCCACTCCCCCTGCTTGTGTTCCCTCTCTCGCTGTCTCTCTGTCAAATAAATAAATAAAATCTTAAAAAAGAAGTGGATTGTGCCTGAACAGAATTTATAAAAAAAAAAAAAAAATCTAACTCGGGGCGCCTGGGTGGCTCAGTCGTTAAGCGTCTGCCTTCAGCTCGGGTCATGATCCCAGGGTCCTGGGATCGAGCCCCGCATCGGGCTCCCTGCTCCGTGGGAAGCCGGCTTCTCCCTCTCCCACACCCCCTGCTTGTGTTCCCTCTCTCGCTGTCAAATAAATAAATAAAATCTTTAAAAAAAAGTTAACTCTGATCACGTCCCTCTGCTCCCGTGGCTCCCAGCTCCCTCAGGGAAAAGCCAAGGTACTCACTTGGCCCAAGGATCTGCCCAGGTACCTCACCTCTCTGTCCTATCTCCCACTTGCTTCCTCTGGCTCCCACCGCCTAAAGCATGTTGGATATCAGGGATCTTGCACTTGATATTTCTCTTCCTGGAACACTTTCCCCAAGTATCTGCCTGGCTTGTTCCCTCACCTCCATGTCTCTGCTCCAGTGTCTTCTCAGTGAGGCCTTTACCCACTGTCTATAGCTCTATATTTTGTCTGCTCTCTTCCCCCCCCCCGCCCCGCCGCCAGCTTCTAGGCACATCTCTCCATCTGACACTCTGTTCATTTTATTTACATACCATGTTTAGCATGTCTCTCCCACTAGAGGGTAGGGACAATTTGGTTCTTGGCCCAGAATAGTGCTTGGTACGCAGTAAGGGCTCAGCACATTTCTGCTGAATTTAATGAATGAACAGCCTTGTGAAGTGAGATTAGTATTGTTCCCACTTAGAGATGAGGAAACTGAGGCCCGACAAGGAAAAGCAGTATGGTGACTAGGGTTTGGCAGGCAAGTGCAGAGTTGGCCTTAAATTTTGGAGTGCCTCCTTACATTCTGCACTGTAAGCACCTCACCTACCTCACCCTAGGTGAAGGCTACAGAGCTGCAAAGTGGCAGAACCTGAACTTGGCCCTAGCCCTACCCGGGCTGCAAAGCCCTCCATCTTCACCAGGAGGCAGTCTGCTGAGGCTGCCTGGTCTGTTCCCTTGCTCCCTGCTGCCTCCCCAGCTCAGGACAGAGCTAGCTCAGTGTTGTGCGCAGAAATGTATGAATGAACATGTGAACATGTTCACACCCCATTCAGTGGCCGCATCAGTGGACAATTGTAGACCCCCTGCCCCTCTGGGGAAGAGGGCCCCAGGACGAAGGGTGTAGCCCTTGCACCCCGCCTTAGCGCCTTAGCACCTGGAAGGAGCTGAGGAAGATCTCAAAGCCGAGCTTGATGAAGCGCAGGGCACCCCGGGCCTGTTCCTCTGTTACCGGAGCAAACACCACCTCGTGGACACCCAGCAGGGGCACCAGCGTCAGCGTGGAGCGAGCCAGCCTGGGGGTAGAGGGTGGCAGTGGTCCCGCAGCCCCAGGTCCTCCATTTTGCACCCTGCCCCTTTCCCTCCATCCCGGCCCGGCTCCCTCACCTCAGGCGGTAGTCCGGGCAGCGCAGCTGTCGCGTCCTCAGCTTGGACACAAGGATGCCAAGAATGCGAATAAAGATGAGAAAATTAATCTGCAGGGAGAGACAGAGGCTGAGCCAGCCCCATCCTGTCCTGGGGGACAGGGTGGCGCCCCGTTTCCCAGGGTGGGAAATTCCAGAGGGTGGCCTGGAGGACTCAGGGTTGGCCGTACCAAGATGGTCATGAGGATAGGGGTACGTATGATCCACCAAATGGCCTTGACATCATTCCGCTCCCAGCACCTGAGGGGAGGGGGAGTAGAGCTAAGAGAAAAACCCCTGGACTCAGAGGATCACGCACCCTCTCTCGCCAGCTCCGCCCACTCTCCTTAATGCCACACCCACGTTCCCTTAAAGCCCCCCTGCTACTATCCAGGCCCCGCTCCCATCCCGTCCCCTTCAGGACACAATCTTTCCTAGCTCCCCATTCCTTTAGATCCCACCCACCCCTTCCCAGCCCCTACGTGCCCTCCGAACCTCCCCACCCTTCCATCACACCCCGCCCGAGTCCCTCAAAGCTCCGCCCGCCTCCCAGGCCCCACCCCAGACCCCAAGACTCACTGCGTGTTCTCGTACAGGTACCTGACGATCACCCAGGGAATGACGAAAAACGCGGGGGCCCCTGTGCAGACCCCGACCCCGCCCCCCACCCCGCCGCAGCTGTCAGCGCGCGCACGGGCCCCTCCAGGCCCAAGACCCGCGGAATTTCCCCCGCCGCCGCCGGGGTGGGGAGGCAGAAGCCCAGAGAGGGGAGGAGACCCCCTGAGGTAGACCAGCAGGGGAGTCGAGGGAGTGGAGGCGCGCCGGCTTGGGCAGGGGACAGGGTCGGGGCTCACCCCAGCCGAGAAGCAGGTAGCAGCGGAAGTGGCCCCCCTCGGAACCTCCCACAAGCACCAGGAGACTGTGTAGGTAGACACCCTCCACCAGCAGCCAAGTGTAGTTGGCACCCACGCAGTACTGGGTCACGATCTGGGCCGTGCGGCAGGCAGCCAGGTCCTAGGGGGTGGCCGGACAGGGGGAGGGGGCAGTCAGGGCCTCCAGGGTGTCCCCAAGCCGTCCTTCTCCACCTGGTCGTCCATCCACCTCCATTTCCTGCCGTCCACTGTTCACTTCCCGCTCTGCATCACCAGAGGATGTTATCTGTGATTGATTTCTCTCTTCTATTCTCTTCCCTCTGTGAGCTGTCCCGCTTTTACCTCTTTAACAATTGGTATCTTCCGTCTTGCTATCAGTTTCCCCCACCCCAGGGCCCCCAGATATGGCCTCTCCCACCCCATCGCCTTCTAAAAATTAAACTCAACTACTTCACCTGTCAAAAAGTTTCTCCCACCCCGTCACCCTTGTCCGGCCAGCACAGGGACTCCCCCACCCCATAGCTTCTTCACAATCTACATGGCCCAACTGGCTACCTGCAAGTTTTTCTCACCTGGGCCCCCAGCCTCTAGCCTCCCCTGCCTTTGTTTCACAGTAACAACAAATTGGTATCTATCAAATCCCCTCCCATCCTGCCATGCCCCACCTCCAGCAGGGGACTCTCTCATTGGTGGAAAAGTCCAGGGACGGGTCAGAAAATGAGAACTAAGCAAGAGAAAAATCTCACATAGGAGGTGATGGGGTGGGTGATGGAGGGGGCTGAGTTGGGAGGGCCCCTCTCCAAATGTGTTTTTAAAGAGGTCAAGAGAGATAAACTGTTGATAAGTGTAGAAAGTAGTAAATGGACTGGGAACTTCTTGGCCCCACCAGAGGAGGCAGAATCCCAATTTGAGAAAGAGAGGGATGCTGCTCACCGGGTTCCACAGGACAGGGGCCTGGTCCCCAGGGTAGGGGCCAGGTGGAGGTAGCAGACGGTCTCGGGTGAGGATGGCCGCCGCCCGCAGCATGGAAGACGTGAACAGGTTGATGTGGATGTAGTTTCGAGTGCAGCGCAGCCTCCTAGGGGATTTGGGATGCAGTCTGGGGACCCCTGGACACCTGCCCTCAGCCACACAGAGCCCCTTAATTCACCTCCCTGCCCTTCCCACAGAACCACCATTAGATGCTTGTCACTAGTGGAGCCTGACCACCCCATCTTACTGGGCAAACTGAGGCCCAGGCTCTGCAGCTGTGACTCAAGGCTGGAGGTCTCACCTGAAGAAACTTAAGATGAGCAGGGCTAGCAGCAGTGTGGCCAGGGACAGGGAGTAGCCCACGGTGTACATGACCTGCATCCGCTCCAAAATCAGCTTTTGATCCTAGGTCGGGGTAGGGAGGTGCAGGAGGGTAGGAGGACACAGGAACAGAGTTCAGTGCTTCCCCTCCCCAGGACCAGAAAGGGACCCTGCTTTTTGTTCCTGCCCAGCATCCCAGTTTTCTCTTGGGGATCCAACTACCCTTGCTTGACTGGGGCCAACTGGCTGATTCCACCCCTCAGTCCAGGGCCGAGCATGTGACCTGCCAGTCAGAGCATTCTATATAACCCCCTACGCACACAGAGACACACATACACAGTGATTAGTGCAGGGTGGAGGCATGGCCCAAGGTATCAGTCCTGGGACATTACATTAGAGCTATTAAGAACAAAGTTCAGTCTCCCCCACAGTCTTGCTTGATTGGTAGGATGTGAGCCTGGTGCTGATTAACAAGGACCACACTTTCCATCCCACAGAAAAGATGAGCCCAGCACAGAGAAAAACAAAGTCATGTCTGGTGAGAGACAAAAAGACTCCCAACAACATCATTTGAGCACCTAGATCCAGCTGTGCCTGTAGCTGTTACCTTATACTTTTCAATCACAGAAGCCAATACATTTCTCTTTCTTTCTCCACCCAACAAGTTTAAGTTGGGTTTTATCACTTGGACCCTAGAGTCTTGAATAGCACAAGGGGTTTCAGGCTCGGCCTGAGGCGGCTGCCTTTTCATCTCTCCCTGCACATCCTGACCTGAATCCCTCACTGCTTCTTACCTGAAAGGCCCCATTCTTTTCTGGGTTCTCACACTGCGAATGATCTCTCCAAGGTCCCCATTGGCCATCACTGCCACACTGGCGGAGGACAAAGCCTGTAGCCACTGTGGGGGAAACAAAGGAGGGGATCAGAGGCACAGAGAAAGAGGCACAGAGAATGAAACAGAAAGACAAAAGTAAGACAAAGGCAGGGGTGCCTGGGCGGCTCAGTTGTTAAGCGTCTGCCTTCGGCTCAGGTCATGATCCCAGAGTCCTGGGATTCAGTCCCGAAACGGGCTCCCTGCTGTGCGGGAAGCCTGCTTCTCTCTCTCCCACTCCCCCTGCTTGTGTTCCTGCTCTCGCTAACTCTTTCTCTGTCAAATAAATAAATAAAATCTTTAAAAAAAATAAGACAAAGGCAGAGATAGCCAAAGTGATGTGAGGATAATAAACCCTTATGTGTATTAATTAAATTAATCTTCATAACAAGCCTATAAAAATGGTACTATTATCAACCCCATCTTACAGAAGAGGAAGCTGAGGCATAAAGAAGTTAAATAAGTTGCTCTAGGCCAAATAGCTAGTTAGGCCAAATAGACAGGAAGACCAAGACGCCGGGAGGAAATAAGAACCCTGTGGTCCTCAGAGAGATACAGAGACAGAAGAGAGGCATTACGTGACAGAGCCAGGGTTGGTCAGGCAGGAGGAGACACCCAGACGGACAGAGAGGAGCAGGAGATCAAGTGTGGGATCAAGATCAAGCGAACTCTGGGGAGTGTTGTCTGGGGCAGGGCTAGGAGCTATTTTTGTCAGGGGAGGGCCTGGGGTCCAGGGGGCACCTCACCATGACGGTGCCAGGGCAGGTACCAGGGGCAGGACGCACGGGCAGTGTCGTTGGCGGCAGCGTAGTCCCAGCAGACGTACATATCGAAGGACGCGTTACAGGCGAGGCCTGGGGTGGGCGTGGGGGCCAGACGTCGGGTGGACAGACCGCACACAGCCCAAGGCTTCTGCGTAAGCGCTGCTCTGGCCCCGCCCACCGGGGGTGGTCCAGTCCCCGGCTCTGCCGCAGCCCCTCCCAAGGGCCAGACCCCAGGCCCCGCCCTTCAGGCTCCACCCACCTGGTGCAGCCCCGCCCTTTCGAGCTTCTGCAGGGGCCTCTCCCACTAATCCGAGTTGCGCCCCAGTTTCCCCCACCCCCCCCACCGCGCCCTCAGGTCTAAGTCCGTCCCACCGAGGCCAAGCATCACCCAGGCCTCTCCGACACAGCCCACCTCTACCCCAGACTTCCTCAGGCCCCGTCCGTCAGTCCTAGCCCCGCCTCAAGCACACCCCTCTCAGCCCTAGTCCTTCCCGTGCCCCCAGGCCCCGTCCCCCAGTCGCACCTGCCGGGGGGTCCAAGGCCTCCAGTGTCTCTTGGCACTCTCTGCGGTACCTTTCCCAGCGCTGGTACAGCTCCTCCGCCGTCTGCCCTTCAGAGCCTGTCTATGGAAAGAGAGGAGGGAGGATCCCCCCCCCACACACACACACCCCGACCGATCCCCGCTCCCAGGCAGCACGGTTCGTGTGGGTTAGAAACACCCTACAGAGACTTGAAAAGGCTGCCCTGTTTTGTCCCGGAGTCTTGGGTAACTTAGAAACCTCTTCTAGGTCTCAAGGAGTGCCTAGACCAGGGGAGTTGCTGTGGGGGGCTGAAAACCTTCAGGAAAATTAGGGGAAGGAGTGGCTGGAAATCATCAGGAGGATTTGAGAGGGAAAGAAGCGAGACTGGAAACAACTCGAATCTAGACAGGCGGGGCAGTCTTAAAACTCTCTCTGCGGCGGGGGAAGCCTTAAAACTGTCCCCAGACCTCCCTCCTAGCCTCGAACCCCTGTGGCTCCTAGGGTCCTCACCTCCGCCCTCCGGAGCAGCGGCCCCCACCACAAGAGCAGCAGTAGCAGCCGCCAAGGCGGACAGTTCGGCATCGTGAGGGCGGCAGGGCATGGGGGGCGAAGAGTCTGGTCTAGTAGGGGCAGTCCGGCCTGGAGGGTCAGGGCGCAGAGTCAGGGAGCCTCGGCCCTCCGCCTCCAGCCCCGGGCGCCACCCGCTCTGAGATTCAAACAGGCGGACTAGGAGGCAGTGGCCCCCCTCCGCCCCCACGAGTGATGACTTGTGGGGTGGGGGGAGAGTGGGCGAGGCCGAGATCCAGCACGTGATTCCCAGGCCCGCCCCCAACTGTTGCTGGGGCAGCGGCGGTGGAAGGGGGGTGTTTGCTGAGGGCGCGGTTGCCCTTAGAGCTGCTCTGGGCGGAGGCGCTAATGTCACCCGGAGTCTAGACCTAGAGATTCTGGGGAATCTGGGGACTGCCTTGGAGAGGTAAGCGTCAGGCACGGAGCTTGAAATGACCCTCAGAGTTCCCATGTTACCGGCCCAGAGGATCTTCAAATGGCAAATAGGATCCCGACCTTAAAAAACTTGCCGGCTGTGAATGAAGCCCAGAGTCAATGGAACAACCCTCTCCCTAGGGACCAGAGAGGAGTCAGACCCTGGGCTTAGGTTTGCAGGGGCCCAGATGCCTGAAAATGGGTCTAACCCCAATCCCTCCCCCCACAGCACCGTGTGGGGAAAGGCGGAAGCAGGGAAGATCTCAGATGGAGCCCCAGAAATGGGTGAAACAGAAATATAGAGACTGAGAGACATACAGACGAAGCAGAATGAGACACACAGCAAGAGACCAGAGAGGAAAAGACAGATAAAAATGTGGGCTAGGAGACAAAGAGGGGACAGAGACATGGAGAGAGACACAAAGAATGGGGCAAGGAGAGATAAAGGGACAGAAACAGAGCCATCCAGAGGCTAAACAGAGTTCGGGAGACATGGAGACAGAGCTATGGAGAGACAGGCAGACAGGAGGCTAGAGAGCGAGGGCACAGAGAGACAAAGAGACAAAGAGACAAAGGCATGAGCTAAGAAACAGAGAAAGAGGGACCCAGAGGCTTGAGTGGGACATGGGGGCAGGGGAATGGGCTGGGATTGGGAAAGCCCTCACCTGTCCCCAGATCTGCTCTCGATCACTCACTCCAGCGGCTGTTGCCTCCACGGCCTCCGCCTGGGCTCTGGAAGAGGTGACAGCCTGGGGTAGTGGGAGAGGGCGGGGCCAGGGAGCAGAAGGGGGAGCTCTGGGGCAGAGACCGGGCGCGGGGGGGGGGGGGGGGCGGCCAGTGGTGCTCGAGGATCAGAGTCACCCACGGTCACGTAGAAGAGCAGTCACGGAGCCGGGGTCACAGGCTCTCACACGGTCCCACCCATCCCACACAGCCGTGGCACACAGCCGCGGTCACACTCCTCGCACAGGCTGACAGTCATCCACAGTGACACAGCCGTGGGCCCGGACTGCAGGCAACTCCACTCACAGAGCAACACAATCACGGCTTCCCACAGTTCTCGTGATGCCGTGTCGGCCACCCAGTCACTAGGTCTCATCTCCCCACCGGCCTGTGGTCACCCCTGGGTCCCCAGCGTCACTCAGCACCGGCTTGGGCATTGAGCAGAGGCTGGAAGAATGACCGTCGATGACATGCACACGCTGATATGCAGTCCCTCATGCAGTCATGTAACCCCTGACCTACCACCACCTGCGGGGCCACACACAAGGTCACGCAACCATACCCATCCACACTCTCACAGTTCACACGGTCGCCAGAGCCCACAGTCACACCCCGACAGCACACCTTCCCCAAATGTCAATAAGGCACACGCTCTCAGGGTGTCATGTCGTCACGCCGTCACCCTTACGCGGTCACACCCAGTGCCATGGTGGTAGGGACACACGACTCTTCTCCCCATCCTCACCCGCACTCACGAGTCCCCGAGTCACACACACATCACATGCCACGGCGTCCCGCACAGCCCCACGGACGCACAGAGGATCACACACCGTCATGCCGCAATCACGCACGAACCCGCGGCCTCACAGGGTCTCGCAGTCACGGGCACCACTGAATCACACACCTTCCCGCAGTCTCCACTTCTAGTCTCTTTCTTTGCTCTAAAATATGGGAAACGGGGAGTGTCTGTACATCAGGGGGAAAGCCTTAGTCTCGGTTCTCGATGTTCTCATCCCCCAGTAATACAAACCACGGATTCATGCACATTAGTCAACTTGTAACACTCAGGAGCATATGCTCCCCTGGGACCTAGGGGATAAGTGGGGCAGAGGTGAATGTGCCCACTTGGCAGAGGAGAAACTGAGGCCCCGAGGCCCCTGCAGGGGCAGGGAGACTGGGGGATGCAAGGTCCAGCACCAGGAGCTGGAAGGAGACAAGTCTAGGAGGGGGGTAACGGGGGGGGGGGGGTCCTGGCTCCCTGGCCTCCAGCTGGCCTCCCTGCTCTCTGCCCCAAATTCCTGGCGCCCTCTGGGTCCTGGGAAAGGCTCGGTTCATGGAGTGGAGAGGGAGAGGGGTCTGAGATAGCACAGCACCTCGGGGAGAGGCTGGGCTTGGGAGGGAGTCTCTCCTTGGCCCCAAGAGAGCCTGGGGGGCCACTCAGCTAGGGCTGGGAAGGTGGGGGGAGTCTGGGAAGGGGGAGGGGAGAGACTGGGGAAGGGGGAAGCAGTGGAGAGGAATTGAGGTGGTGAGAGAGACAGGAAGAGAAACCAAGGGCCCAGAGAGACCAGAGACAGACAGGAAGAGATGGAGACGAGAGAGAGACCAAGAGAGACAGACAGAGAGGAAGAGATCAAAAGAGACAGAGACATGGAAGTACAGAGAGAGAGAGAGTGACAGAGAGAGACAGACAGAGGGAGAGATTGAAAGAGACAGAGACATAGAAGAACACACAGAGAGAGAGAGAGAGAGAGAGAGAGAGAGGAAGAGATCGGAAGAGACAGAGAAAGATACACAGAGAGACAGAAAGACAGAGAGAGAGACACAGAGATAATGAGAGAGAGAGAGACAGAGAGATAGGGGAGGAGGGTGGGGACGGAGCACAGGCCACGTTAAGAGAAAGACAAGGGGGATGGAGGGAGAGAAAGCCTGAACAACAGGCGCTGAGGAGAGGCGAGCTAGCCAGGACTCCGCTGTGGCTCAGAGGTCCTCACCCGGCCCTGCGGGGGACTCCCGAGGTCAGAACCCAGCACAAGGTGCACAGGAGGGTGGTGCCTGGGTCCCTCATGGCCCTCGGCACACCGAAGCCCTCTCCTGGGTCCTCTGCAGTCTCCCAGGGTCTGGGGAGGGGGCGGCAGGGCCGTGCGCGCGCGTGCGCGCGCGCACACACACACACAGCCCTCTCTGAATCCCAGACCTCGGTTCTCTGGGTCTCTCTCTCTCTCTTTCCCATCTTTTATTTTTTTTAAGATTTTATTTATTTATTTGACAGAGAGAGAGAGACAGTAAGAGAAGGAACACAGCAGGGGGAGTGGGGAGGGAGAAGCAGGCTCCCCGCGGAGCAGGGAGCCCGATGTGGGGCGGGGGGGGGAGGGGGTCGATCCCAGGACCCTGGGATCATGACCTGAGTTGAAGGCAGACGCTTAACGACTGAGCCACCCAGGCGCCCCTCTCTTTCCCATCTTTAACCTTTCCCCTTTCTCTTCCCCTTGTCATCTGTCAGCGCTCAGGGTGTCTGTCTCTGTTTCTCTCTCTCCATTGCCTCGGGTCCTGGGTCTTTGCGGGGCGCTGTTGTCGCCCCGCCCCCCAGCAAGGAGCAGGCAGTGCCCCCCAAGGGAAGGAGCTGGAAGGCCTGTGCCTGCCCCGCTGGCGCTGTGGCCAAGCCGAGCCTGTGGGGAGCAGGCAGGGGGCCCGGAGTGCCAGCAGATGGTACAGGAGAAATGAGGCAGAGAGAGATGGGGAGAGGGGGCACCCCATGGGGACCGAGGCCAGAAATGGAAGGCTGAGGTGGCCCCCCTGAGATTCAGGACTGAAGATAGATGAGGCCTGAAAGACAGAGACCCACAGAGACATACACTTCGCGCACACACACAAATAGGATCCAGAGAAAGCAGGAACCCAGAGACAGAAAAGAGGCAGAGATCCAGAGACAGGGGCCTCAAGAGACAAACACAAACATGGGATCCAAGCGAGAGACGGAGACAAAGACCCAAAGAGAGACCAAGACGTAGAGACATGAAACCCAAAGAGAGACAGAGACATGGAGAAGCATAGAGCCGGGAAACAGGAAAGAACAGAGACAGAGAACCACAGAGATGAGACCAGAGAGACAGAGACCCAGAGACAGGTATCCAGAGAAGGAGACAGACACAGGGATGAAGAGATGGTCCAGAGAGAGAGATTTGGAATGCAGACAGATGGGGATGGGGGTAAACTCTTCCAAAGACACAATCAGTGAGAGATGAGGCAGAGATGCCCAGCACCCCTCGCCCTCTTCCGGGAGAGAGGGGGTGCTCCCCCCACACCCTGCAGCTCGTTTCCATAGCAACCTCCCCAGATCCTGAGGGCAAATATTGTCCTGGCTAGAAGCAGCGGGGCTGTGTTGACATAATCTCCTGCTGGTGGGGTGGGGGCTCCAGGGGCCCAAGAGGCCGGGCTGGGGGCAGGAGAGCAGAGGGGCTCTCAACCAGGGCCCCACGGAGAGCTCCAACTTCCCCGCCCACCTCCCCAGAGCAAGGTGTAAACCTCCTCGCCCTGGGAAAAGGAGCTGAGATTCAAACCTGTAGCTCTCGCTGCCCCCTGGTGGTGGTGGGCCAGCCCCGAAGCTCCTTTCCTAGCATCAAGAAGAGCAGGCTGGTCTGGGCATTTTCCTCCAGGTTTCTAGAATCTTCCCCCACAGCTCCTGCTCTGGTCCAGGGCCCCTCTCTCCCCAGTCATACCCCCCTTTCTTCCCACCTGCAACCCCCCTCCCATAGGACAGCTAGGCAGCCAGAGTGATGATGCTAAAGCACAAACTGCCCCCATCCCTCTCTAGCTTAGAACCTGCCATGGCTCCCCAGTGCCCTCAGGAGCAAGCTCGGGCTCCCCTCCACAGCCTCCAAGACCCTTGCTGAGCTCCCCAGCCTTCTCTTTGAGAAGTCCCAGCTCTTCAGACCCTTCCCAGGCCCTGATCCTTTGTTCTAGCAGTATTCTCTGCCTCAAGTGCCTCCACCCAATTTTTGTTTCCCAAGCCTGCCTCAAAGTTAGCTCACTCACTCATTCATCCATTCAACCAATAACTATTTCCTCTCCCGGACTCTGAGCTCTGTGAGGACAGGATCCGGGCTCTCTCAGTGGCTTGTGGGACCCCAGCATCGCCCAGAGCAGGGTTCGGCCCAGAGCAGGGTTCTATTCATTTCACTGGGTACTTATTATGTATCAGGCCCTGGATTCAGCAATGCTGGGGATCCCAGGGGCCCAGCCCTCCTGCCGAGCCCAGTCATAGACCCAAATAGAGAGACAGACTAACAGAAGGAGAGGGAGAGAGAGAAACACAAAGAAAGAAGAAAGAATCAGGAAGACAGGGGAAATAAAGCTGATGGAAAAACAGAATGTAGGATCAGAAGTAGGAGTAGCAGAGAAGGGAGGTCACTTGCTCAAGGTGACATAGCTCATAAGTGATGTAACCCATTTCCAGAGACATAAAGGGAGACAGAGAGAGAAGAGAGAAAAGTGGCTCAGAGAAGGAAACCTAGAGGCAGAGAGGAAAGATGAAGCCAGACTGGGAGTCCTGCCCCGCACCCCCAAGGCACAGCTCCCTTCTCCCCATCCCCCTCCTCCCCACTTCCAGGCTTTTGACATCTCCCTGCAAAAGCACTTGTAATAAAACTAGCTCCATTAGCTGTACCCAAAAGCCACTGTGCTGAGCACTTGACAGGCCTGAGCTCACTGAACCTGCTCTTCTCCCCTGGGAAGTGGGTGCTGGGATGGCTCCCATTTTGCAGAGAAGCAAGCTATTGGGCCAAGGTCACTGAGCTCACATGGATCCTGACCCCTGGAGGGCAAGGACTGACTCATCTTTGTGTGTCACCCCCTCCCACCCCCCAAATACACACACACACACACACACACACACACAAGCACACGACTCACCTGGCTGAACTCCTCTCCCTGTGGCTTCACACCGCTCCTCCAACACACGGAGCTTGCAGGATCTGGACTCTTTGTTTCTATCAATAACACAGCCAGCTGTGATCATAGAATGATAATGGCCCACATCTACTTTGCCCATCACTTTGAACTCATTATTGACCTTGGTGCCTTTCACAGTAGGTGTTCCCTAAGAAATGGATGGGAGCTGCTAGCATTTACAGGTGCCTATGTGTGCCAGGTACTGTACTCATGTGTGAGTTACATCTGTGGCCTCACTGGGGCTCACGGAGGATACAGTAACAAACTACAAACATCTTCCCACATCTTAGAGGCCCTACAGGATCTGGTGGGTCCATCGCCTCCCTGACCTCATCTACCTCCTGCTCTCCTCTCCCTCATCAGTCTTCTTGTTGCCCCAGGAATATGCCACACTCATATCTATCTCAGGATCTTTGCACCTACTGATTTCTCTACGTAGAAATCTTCCCCTCCCCAACTTCATGCATGATTGCTTCCTTGTCATTCACATTTCAGCTCAAATGTCACCTCCTCAGAGAGACCTTCCCTTACCGGCTCCGTGCCTTTTTCTTCATCTGTAAAACGGTGGTGAAAATAGGGCTCGTGGTGAAGATAACTGAGTGTTTGGCATGTAGTAGGTGCTCAATAAATGTTAGTTATTATTAGTTAATTGTTTTGTGTATGGTGGCGTACCTCGTCCATCACCCTGCAAGATCAATGAGAACAAATTCTGGCACTGACTTGGTTACTACTGAAACTCCAGCACCTAGCACAGAGCTTGACACACTGTAGATGCTCAGGAAACATTTTTGTTACCCCTTTCTAAATCAGTAAACATTTTTTTTTTAAAGCTTTTACTTATTTATTTGACAGAGAGAGAGCAGGAAAGCACAAGCAGGGGGAGTGGCAG